ATTGATTTATTTAATAGATACACATTGTCACAGCCAAGAAATCCTCTCATGAAGCTACATGCTTCTTATTAGCTTTATCTAAAGCTATTTCAAACGCGATTTGAGGATTTTCTTATAGTCAATCATTTCTTATAGTTGAAGGGTGTTCAATTTCTAATATTGAACTGTCACAGTGTATTTGAACCTTATGAATATTCTTCAAATATTTCAATTGTTCTTGCTTCTTCTAGCCCTTCCAGTAACTGACTGACTACCACAGGTATACTTATGGAACATCTTCCAAAAGTTACGAAGCGAAGTTGTTTTGCTTCTTTTTCGCAATGAACTCAGATTCCATGCCTTGTCAATTCCATAGCAACTCCACCAAGGATAACAAAATAACCACTTGTGGACTTGGAATCCTTCATGTCGGATATTCAATTAGATTTCAATATCCTTCGAATACCATAGGATACCTTATGAAATGTAATCCACGGGTCATAGTATACTTTAAATACCCAAAGACCCTTGTCAATGCCACCCAATGATTATGGCCTGGATTACTCGTGGATTTACTAAGTTATTCACAGCAAAAGTAATATATGGTCGAGTGCAATTCGTAATATATATTAGACTGCCAATCATTTGTGAATACCTTAGTTGTGACACGTTTCCACTCTTATTTTAACCAAGTGTATACTTGTATTAATATGTGTCTTGAATTATTTCCCGCAAATACTTAAGTATTTTCTCTATCATAATGATATTGGGAAAGTACAATTCCTAGAGATCTTTATCCCTAGTATTACTTTTGCCACACCCATGCCTCTCATATCGAAATGCTTCGTTAGCATTTTCTTGATGTTTACCAACACTTCGTGGCTTTTGCCTAATATACAATTACATAAGCATTTGGTGTATTCACGTATACACACTTGTCACGTTAGTTCATTTTGAATCCGTTTACAAGTTTTATGGCTTTCACTTTGGAGAAACAAATCCTCCAGGTTGCTCCATGTATATCTCCCATTTAGGAGTACCGTTCTCACATCCATTTGATGAATCTCAAGGTTATATATAGATTGCCGCAGTTGCAATTAGTAACCTTATCAAAGTAACTCTAGTTATGGATGAGTGGATATCAAAGAAGTCAAGTCCTTCTTTCTAACCCTCTTACTACGCCTTGGTTCTTTTTAATTTGAAGATCCATTTGTAGCTTCATAAGTTCTCTTATTTGAACTTACATTTCCTTTGTCTTTGCAATGAATAATTCTAAAGAATATTATACTTCTTTATTCCACTATGATACCCTCATGTACATCCAATTTGTGTACAGAAAATGATATGCATTACTATTTATTGGTGTATCCAATAAATATGCAATCAATCACTTTGGGACCAATCTTTATTTGTTAGGAACTTCGACCTTTGCCAAACATCCCCACACTTTTACATGTTGATAGGATGAATGATGACTTTTCCACAACTAATATGGAGTCTTTTCTATTTGTTAATTAGTTAATTCAACTCAAACCTAAAAATATGATTTAACTATTTCTAATTTTTAGTCTAAGCCCAATTTAATTAAATTGATCTAAATTTTATCCAAATTTGTTATTCTAGTGTAGTGCAATTTCTTTCGATATAGAGAAATCGAATTGAAACTCGATGGCTGATGAGTGTAATTCACTCATTAAACTAAAGCTTCTAAATCACGTCTCTTGATGTGTTCTTGGGTAGTTTTGAACGTTTTGATGTGTGTGTTCGTGTTGTTTTGCAGTTTGGACAACTCTCGAGAAAATACCACTATTGGGAGCCTGTGATGAGCAAAAATGATGATCAATGGAATGGAGTATGAATAAGCAAGTATTGAATAAGATTGGAATGAAAAATATGCTTGGAAAACAAAGTGAAGAGAAGCAAAGTAGTGGCATTAGCGCCACGACGCCGAAAAAGGGGCGCCATGGCGCCCCAAAGCGATGAATTCCAGCAGAACCACTGGTGCCATGACACCCAATGAAGACCAACAGAAGCAGAAACTCTGGCGCCACGGCGCCAGTTACCATGATAATCGCGGCGCCATGCTTGGGCGCTGTGGCGTAAAATCCCGAAACTTTAAAACCCGAATTTTTAATTATTTTTTCGGCCCAAAAATCATACCCTAACCCTTGAGGACTCTTAGAAAATATAAATATCAAGATGAAGAAAGAGAGAGGGAGGTTAGACGGCTGAAGAGGCAAGAGAAAGAGAAGCACCAATTGAGAGAAGATTAACTCGATTTTGGAGAAGAAGAAGGCAGAAAACTGAGAAATCAAGCAACAAGATTGAGAAATAGAGCGACAACTTTAGTTTTTTTCTATCGTTCTATTATACATGCACTCTAGTTTGTATTTCATTGCAATTTTATTCTCCGTCATGAACTAAACTTTTAAATCTAGGGTTTGATGTAACCTATTTGAAACATGATTTAATTTCCTTATAGTATTTCCATTTAATTTTCTAGAATTGATTTGTATTATTCTTGCTTAATGCTTTCAGTTGCCTGATCACCAATTGAATGAATTGTTGCCCTAAATTTGATGCTCGAGGAAGGGAAATTTAGGCATGATCTAAGAACAATACACTTAGATTTGTAGGTTTCGAAAGAAAGTGCAAATCTTTGAGGGTAAAACAAGTACAAGTGCGTGATAAGTTTTATATATTTAATTCGGAATAAAGATATTGAGATTAAAATATAGAGATAGGTTCTATTTGACGCTCGAGAGGGGGGAAATAGAATTAATTTATGATTCTTGCCTGTGAATTCGGGAAATAGTTAATGGAAATATCTAGAGGGATTGAGAATTATGTCGAGAATACGGTGAAATCACTCCCTAGACATTACGTAATTTTGATTTAATTTTTAGAAATTGCCTCACTTTTATTACATTATTTATTTCATTGACATTAGTTTAGTATTCAAACATCAATTTAACACCCGATTGTCTAGATAAAGTAAACGTGGACACAATTATAGTATTCAGTGGAAGTCGAATATCAATCCCTGTGGGTTCGACACTTTTCAATTCTTTAATATACTACAAAACTTGACACCGTGCGCTTGCGGTATAAAATCACGTTACATAATTCGTGTGGCAATGACTCATCTCTTAATTATTGTAATCTTGCTATTGTCCTCTTTCAGTGATTTTAACAATCAAATTTATGAAGAACTCAACAAAGATAGAAGCAAAAGACATATAAGATTGAATCAAGTTATTTTGTAAGAGTTAAGATTGAACACGTCATTAGTTGAATTAATGTAGTTTTGTAAATATTAAAAAAATTAATTATAGTACAGAACTTGGGAACTGAATGAAATCGAACCGAATTGAATCGAATGGAACCAAACCTGAGCGGTTTCACTTATTAAATACTAAAAAATTTCAGGTTCAGTTCGGTTCTAACAAACCGGACCATGTCCACCCTTACCAGAAACTAAGGGCAAGTATACTATTTTATCATTATCTATAGACAATCAATTGAGTCTTCCCACATATTTGAAGTTTTGTGAGCAATTGAATCTTCATTAGGTACTTGGCATTTCGCAGAAGTTACAAGCTTAAAGTATGAGCGTCTCTCTTGTGCATTTGTGTGCTGTCTATTTTCACAATTTTCCTTAACTATATCTGACTTAGTTTAATTCAAACCATGGTATAGAATATTCTTATTATCTTATATAATTTGGAATATTATTCCAAAGGACAATTCTCTCTTAATTCTCGACTTTGGAAGGGCCATCTAGTCCAGAACCCAGAGCTTCAAACAATCAGTACATTGATTAAACCAAAACAAAGAAAGGGAATTAACAACACAAACAGGTACAACAAACTGTAAGGACCAAATGAAAATTATAAGAAACTATTATAGTAAGTGCTATCTTACCTCGTCCTAAAGACACAGTTGCAAAGAAGAACCCAGTCAGAATCAGTAACAAGGCCAGTGGAAAGGACTGCAAGATAATAAAAAAAAAAAGATGTAACAGTCTGGTCAAAAACTATAGCAGACCATGCATCATAATTTCAATGCAGGTTAATGAATCTTCACTATAAAATGAAAAAAATTTCACGTTTATGAACTTCAATTCTTAGTTGAGGAAAAATGAAGTATAACAAATTTAATGGGGGGAAAAATGATCACGGTAGTCGGACTTGAGACACTATAAACCTGGATGACCAAGCATATAAAGAGGGCATGTAAAAGGTACACACGTCATCCAAGACAGCTTCCCACTACCAAGGTAATATTAACTACGGTAAGGGATAACTACAATTACGGGCAGACTAAGAATGCAATTTTTATATTATTCTAGATGTCTGCAGCATGTAATGACACAAAAATGCAAATCAAACATCAGAATTCAGAAGATCAAATTCTTAGTCACTGTCACCTTGAATTTAATCTCTGTTGTAGATTAAGAAATTTTACAAATAAATTAATACCTCCCTTCTCTAGTAGTTCAGGAACACATCTATTAAAATGGGTGTTAGTTCTAATAAGTTCAGCAGTGCAGTTTAAAGAGATTTAAGACTCCTTCAGTTGCATTATACATCTATCCTATCTTCTAAGGTTATAAGAGTAGCCATGAGTCCATGACTTATTTGTAAAATAGTTGGTTCAATTCTGCAGATGTCAAATCACACAGATAATTGTCCATGCTATGACCTTCCAAATTCAACAGTAGCTACACGGTAAATTTCAAATATAACTGTGCTAATTCAATTTTACTTCTTCTTGAATCTTTGTGAGAGATAAGACAATCTTGTTATGGTAGCAATGCATACAAATTGGTCAATAAAGGTGACTTTTTTCCAGTATTGCTGAAAAATGATGTAAACATATCTCGGTCAAAGCGAGAGTTAGAAAGGTGATCATCACTATACATAAGTACCAAATTCAAATAGTAGATTCAGTATGCATAAATATTTCTTAACTCAGAGTTTCCCAGTTTGTATAAATTTCTCATTTCCAGGCTTGAAACAGGCAGAGTAAGCTCTAAATAAGATATCCACAAGAAGATTTTACTCACAGCTATTACCTCAATGCCTCTTTCCTGCGATGTAGGAGTCGTGCTTCTGGAGACAGAGAGAATGTAATGTCCTTGCACTAGATCCATTGCATCCTTCAGGTTTTTGGAAGAAGGAAAAAATGTCAGCATTTTATTAGGATACAAAAATAATATAACAATGAGATTGTACTATGATTAGGTGTACATATTAAATTGATTGTAACTGATAATAAATGTCAAGCCAAATGTTATGCATTTGACAGAAAATATGTTACATAAATCAAGGAGACAAAAGTTACTGAATACTCAGATATAAGTTCTCTCACACATATTCAGATAGGAATTCAGGAAATAAGAGAAACACTGTAACAAGCAAACTGATGCATGCCAGTTAGCAGTCACCGCCGACTGCCAGATGACAAAAGCAACTTCAAGAAGCTATTATATACAGAGTGGAAGAATTTGGTGCAACTTTATGGAATCTTCTATTCAGTAAAACCCTATATATGAAAAAGGTGAGCATATGAACCTGCTTTGTACCATCACGGAAGTTGTCTAAGTAGTACCGCATGAGAGCATTATAGCCATCGTTTAGAATTCCTTGGACAGTCCTCTTGCCATACCTGTTATTTTTATTTTGATAAGTAATCAAGTAATTTTATTAATTAATAGATAATACATGGAAGGTGTATTATCAATTTAAAAAAGAAAGAAACGACATAAAATTTGGCAACCCTTCTATGTGATTAATGGACGCAGCATTAAACCAAATATACAAAGTCATATAAATTTCAAACCTGTTATTGAAGCAAACAAATTTCAAACCAAAAACAAATAAAAAAAATATTAAAACATTGCATAAACGCAGATCTCACATCATAATCTTAGCAAATAGTGCAGATCTTACATCATAGTTTTAGCAAATAGTGTTTGATATATAAAGCATTAATTCAAGTAATAAGGAATGTTAAACCACTTGAATTAAAAGCTTAAGCTTTTAGAAAGTTCGATGCCATGTTGAACCACCATTTGATTTAAAAGTTTAAACTGTTAGAGAAGGTAACATGTATATCATGTGTTGTCTTCAACAAATAAGAATAATAGGTGGACAAATAACACAGGCATCTTTTAATATCACACTTGATGTGGAAGGAAAATTGTTGAAGATATATTAAGTAAATAAATTTTTAAGCTTTTAAAAAAAGGTGGTTTAACTTGGTGTTGAACCTTATGACTCTTAACCTGGACTTCATTGCTAGGACCATTCAGCCTTTGTCACTATTTTTTCTGACAACTTCATCAAACAAATCAAATCTGATCGAATCTCCATCTTACTGAACAAAGCTAAACAGGACTAATTATCTTGAAGGTCCCAATCAGCCACTTTAACAGTCAAAGGTAGGTGGGATTAGCATACCTCCCAGACCCTCCTGTGAAGTTAAATGATCCCAATTTCAAGAGCTGGGATATGAATAATTCAATGATTATGTAGTGGCTGATCCACTCAATTAAGCCAGAAATTGGGAAGAGGTATATTTACCTCAAGATGGCTAAAGAAAATTGGAATGCTGCCTCCACATTTTCTATATTTTGTTCAAGTTTCTGTAGTTTTACTTAAAAAAGACTTTTGTTTGTTAATTTTCCATGTCATTCTCTTTTAGTCTTAATTTCCATAAGGACTTATTTCATTCCACCACCATGTTTCCTTACTAGGTAGTTTTCTACCTGGATATTCTCCTACTACCTTCTTCTCTATGTTAAACTAGCCATCTTACACATCAAACTAATATCTCTTTCTCTATTCAGTTTTCATTCCTCTGGAACTCTATCCTTAAATTTAACTTGTTTTTCATCCAGCGTGTTCACTGCATATATTCCCATTTATTAATAAGTAATAACAAGCACCAGCAACTTTTATTTCGCAGTTAAGCTCATATTAGGAATTAATTAATATCCTTAGACAAAGACCTATCTACCCTCATAGTAAGGATGAAATCTAGTCAAACTAAACTTCTGTTCATTTCTACAAGTTATATGGTGGGGTCTCTTTTTGAAGCAAATATTTACTGATACCAAATCATAAATTACATTCTTCGTTTTGATCCCCATAGCCAAAATATCCATTTACCTTTTGTACCCTGAATTATGTTTCCCCATACGATCCCCCCTGATAATGATCTTATTCTGACTAGAGATTTCCTGAGTTGAGCCATACATATCTGCCAAAAATCATTGTTCCCTTGTCTAATTCTATTTGTGGAGCATACTATCCGGCTCTTCTCCAAAAGAAGCTAACTTATATTATTATCATATCCCCGACACGTTTTACACCGAGTTCAATGAATACTCTACCCCATTCTATTCGTTTCCTTGCTCGTATACCAAAGTTTATATTTTATGTTCCCTTATTTTATCGTATTTTCTCCTACCCATTTGGCATCTTATATGCAAACTATGTTATTTCCTACTTTTTGATCGGTAATCAGAGAATTTTATTCCTTAAAAAAGAGTACACGGGAGGTATACAATTACTTTAAGCATAAAAGGAACAACGTGAAATTAGGCAACCCTATGACAGGATTTTTTGCCTCTGCATTAAATCAAGTATACAAAATCAAGTAAAATAATTCTCTTATCTGCTCTGTTGTCTTTGTTTGGTCTTCGAAACATCGATTGTTCTGTTATCTCCTACTAATCATCACAACTGCTAGCGCTAAGGGTAAGTGCCCCTATATTCCATGCTAAGGCCAGCTTAATTTATAAACCTAAATGCAAGAAACTCAGGTAGACAATTTGATAGAAAGTTAACTACAGGGAAGTAAATAAATCAATAGTCAAACTCATAATAAGAGTTTTAACATTTGATCCCTTGAAGATTCCAAAAATTCTGTACTTCAATGTTCCTTAGTCCAAGAAATCAGAAGTATGGTAACCTATATTCCACTATCATCCCTCAGATATGATTTATCCATACAATAAATCTTCTTGGACAGGGCCATGTAGGCCTTTCCAAACAGGGTGCCTATTCTATTGGAGGGGGTGGCAGCCCATAGGCGCCCTGGACGGACAGGGCCTACGCGTAGGCCCTATCTGTCCAGCATAGTTCTTATCTATATAATATGTATGCTCAAAAGTCCCTATAAGAAAAAAAAATTGCAATCAATTTTGAAGTCATAATAAGCTAACCTTCCACCTTATTATTACACTAAATTGAGTAAAGAACACTATTAACTTCTTTAGATTCCACAAGATATTTTATATCCCTCTCATCTCATAATAAACTATGAACTGAGTTGTAATTTCAAAAATTAATAGGCTAAAAGCTAAATTTTCAAAATCATAAGGGATAAGTAGACAAGATTAATATATGATGGATACCAAAGAGGTTAAGCGCTAATAAAGAGATTAAACCAAACAATATCCATAGCAGCATTTAACAACAGCAAAGAGTAAGCAAATCAGAAGGAGGGTAGGGATAGGGTAACTGCACTTAGAAACTTGTAACAAAATAAAGAATACAACTTAACATGATCGAGGACGCACCTTTGAATCAAAAATTGGAATGCAAACGAGCAACCTTCTGCATCTAAGTTGGAGGAGCTGGGCTGCTTCAACAAGCCTAATGTAATGTTTCAGTAATCCATATTCTGCTGATAGTGGAAGATATGGTAAACTTATTGGTTCTATAATCTTTTACTGTAATGCAATGCAGATTGAAATATGTGACCTGGTGCCTACTGAAGCTAAAATGGCAATGCCATACATGGATGGCATGCAGCATAACAAAACAATTTAACCAGAGTTTTCTCGGGGCAGCCGTCGAAAGGAAAGCAAGAAGGGAAAGTCTGTTGATCCTTCACACATGAGTGAGGAGTCAGTGCTTTTGGTAACGGACACTGGTGTTAGAAAGGCTCACATTACAGATGATGATGACGATTTTGTGGATCCTCCACGATGATGTGAGGGGATATCCCATCAAGAAACACCCCGTGCTGAAGAAGGCCCTTCAGGTCCCCAACATTCTCCAAATGAAGAACATCATGGGATTCAAGGGAGTGCTGTAAGATTATTTTTATTTCTGTTCAAATGTTTTCAAATTGTGGTTACAGTTCACTTAGTACTAGTCATAGTTCACTTAGTACTGGTCATAGTTCAATTTTCATGGTCACAGGCATCTTTTTGAAGGTCACATGTAACTATTTATCTTAATCATGTTTACAGGTGCTTCACAATTTGAATGTGCAAATTTCAGAACTTAAGTCATAGAATAAAGCATTAACCGTGGAGATGGACACCATCAAGTCACAGATGTCGAGCCTCAACTCTGATCAGGCAAAAAAGATGTCTGAAATCATCCTAATGCAAGGACAGTTAAAACATGACATGATCGAGATTAGGACGAACATGCAATTCCTGTCTGAATCCGTGACTACAATGATCTCAAGCTCCATGGATGATATATTAAGGCGATTTAATGATAGGAAATGTTGTCCAGTTAACGAGCATGAAGACACGGAAGCTGCCGTTGAAGGATTCGAAAAGATCGACGAGGTAGGTACATGATATGTTCAATCTATCTATCACTGAACATAGTTACAGATTTTATGTCTCAAATTCTCCAATCTCACATACAGGTGAAAAAACTGTAACCTGTTGTCGACAGGAAAGGGAAGGTGAAGGTCGACTCAACTGAAGATGTTGCCTTTCCAAGTAGTCTTGAGCTCCCATTATTTGACCTGGGTATCGGATACACACAACCAGATGATTTGGAGTCTACAGAAATTCAAAAGCAGGTAGATGCTGTCATATCTGATGTGATCACAGCATCTCCAAATGTTGATGAAGAGGTATTCAAATTTTTTTTTAGTGTAATATGTTATTCACACAATGTGTACATCGAATTTATGCAAACTAAATGTGACCTTTTATAAGTCACAGGGATCACCAACTACTTAACCGGCTTCTAAATTACCAGTTAAGCGGGCTTCAAGGCCTGCGAGGATACTGCGATCTCCATTATTGTCGGGGAAGGAAAGGTACTGCGGCATGATGGTAATTTTATTGTATTTGAAAATTATAAAGATCTTGTTGAAGAAGCTGATAAATCAACATTCTTGGGTTGATTTCAGAGAGGGTATAAACTCAAAAACAGGCATGTACATTTTTCTTATATTTTCAAATACACTGGTCACACAGTCACAGTATCTTGACAGTCAACTTTTGGCAACAAGAAAAAGTTTAATGAGCACGATGACCAAATCAAACCAGCCTTTAGTATCGGCTTATACCCTGTCAGTCACAAGATATGGTTCCACCAGCTGATAGATGTTGAAACGTCTTTAAGCATTCAGTATGGTAACGCTTATGTATCTGTTCACTACACATTTCCTTGTTAACCAGTTACACAACATTAAGAACCTCATACAATACTATGCACATACTGCTGAGCAACCCACTGTCATAGAGTCATAACTTTTTAATGTTGTACCTAACTGTGTCTTTCATGTTCAAACAGCACATGGATACATGCTTCTACTATATTCGCCAGATAGCAAAATTTGGGAAAGTAAAGTTTAGAGCTACAACGACACACTCGTGGTTCCAGTACAAAATAAAAGATATATTTCCCACTTTCCAAAAAGACCCTCAAGTTCTATTGTCGGAGAGTAGCTTGATTAAGGCTGTCACAGGTCGCCTGATATCCCTAAGCACATCTTGGGCCGATGTAGACTATGTGTTCATGCCACTCCTGCCCACGAACAAAGCTCACTAGATGTTAGTTCTGCTAGAATTTAGAAACCATACTTTGATGCTGTTCAACTCAGCTGGAAAAACTTATCGTGATTGGAATGTGCTGGAAGGTATTCAGCCCTATGTGAAGGTATTGCCTGCTCTTATGAAAGCGTTGGGAATTTCGAAAAAAGACCCCGATTTCAACGAATCTAAAATGCAAGCAAATGAAGGTGACCATTGATAGTACCCTGCCTCAGCAGACGGATGGGTAAGTATGTGACCAACTACAGCAGTATAACTTGTAAATTAATTAATTCATAACATACTGTAATGTGTTCTTTTACAATCATGACTGCGTGGTATTCGTGATATTGTATGCATTGTATATCCTCCGTGATGGCAGATGTGCTATTCCCCATAAGTTCAATGCTGCAAAATGTAGAATTGATATCGCCTCACTACTCTACAAACACCGAGAACCTTACGTGAAGAAGGCGAGGCACGCTTTTAAAGGGGAGATGCTTGTAATAGAATGAAAAATATGAAAATATTTGTAAATGAGTTTTATACTTCAGTTGGTAACCTTTTATATTTCTTTCAAGCAATGGAGGTGTTTGTACTCAATACTGTCATGTGGATGTGAATATGCTTTTGCAATACATGAGTGCCCCAACCTTCATTTGTTAATATGTTGTTGCTTGGATACACAGTTGTACATTTGGTATAAGATTTATTTTTGTAATGCCGTGTATAAATAACAGTTCACTTATCAACAGTACCAGGCCACAGATTTAATATTCCATTTGGTGGGAGTTACTTTGACATGACATATGTCGATAACAGGTCACATATGATATGTATAGCAGCTCACGGATTTAGCACTCATACTATATGATGCAAAGATAAGGTCACAGGTTGAAATGTACATCGAAAATTAGGTCACAGTACCAGGTCACAGATTTAGTATTGCTTTTGGTCGGAGTTTCAGTTTGTCATGACATATGTTAATAACAAGTCACATAGTATATGTCTAGCAGATCACGGATGTAGCACTCTTAACATTTCATGCCAAGATCACGTGATTTCGATTTTTGTCACATTTGTAGTCTGCCATGCCATTTGTAAATAACAGGTCACGTACCTGACCACTGATTTGGTTGTGTTTTTTGTCACAGTTTTTGTTTGCCATGGCATATGTCAAGAACAGGTCACATATCAATTACAATAGCCTGCTAAGAGTTGGTCACAGTTCATTTTATTTATGGAATCTGTGACCTTGACATATATTTGTTCTCCACCACGTTTAGGTCACATTTCATGCCTTTAAGTGAATTAATGGTCACAATTCAAATATATTGCTGTGTATGGAATCTAAAATCATAAATTTACACAACTCTATGTTAAACTGAATAAAAAGTACAGATGTACTTCATTTATCATTTATTACCTTACTATTTAATCATTTGTCAATTGATCAATTGAAA